AATCCGCAATTTCGGCCTCTTGGGCCTCCTGGAGCCCCAAGAAGGTTTCAAGACGGCCCAAGATGGCCCCAAGACAGCCCAAGCGGGCCTCAAGACGGCCCAAGACGGCCCCAAGAAGGTCCACGAGGCCCCTAAAAAAGTCCAACGGGCCCCCAAGAAGACTCCCGAGAGCGCCTCCAGAGGCCAAAATCTTTGATTGTCCTGTAGTTTTGGGACAATTTCAACGTCATCGCCTTTTTTCGGCTCTCAGAAGGCCATGACGGCCCAAGCAGCCTCCAAAAAGGCCCCCAAACACCCCAAGAGGCCCCCAAGGGGGGCCCAAGACGGCCCCAGAGGGACCCGAGGCGGCAAAAAAAACCTCCAAGACGGCCCAAGAAACCCCCGAGACGGCCCCAGAGGACCCCAAGAGAGCCTCAAGGCGGCCGCGAGAGGCTTCCAAAGTGGCCTCCGAAGTGGCCAGACAGCGTAAGAACACCCAAAGACGGCTCCAAGACGTCCCCAAGAGGCCCCCAGGGGCTCCAAAGAGGGCCCCCAGAGGCTCCAAAAAACTCATAAGAAGCTTCCAAGAAGCTCCCGAGAGACCACCAGGAGGCCCCACAACGACTGGACTAAACGTCTTCTGAAACACCCTCGGCGAGTCACTCAACAATAATATCCCGCCCTGGGCGAACCGCGGCGCAGCGCCAGCCAGATGGAAGTTGGTCGCGGCGGCGTCCGTGATCAGAGCCAGCGCTGGAAACTACAACAACACAAAGGGACTGAAGCAAGAAAAAAACTACGTACACGATAAGATATTCGAGGATAAGCGAAGTCGAAGACTTTGGCCTCTTGAGCCTTCTAGGAGTCCGAGCGGGCCTCAAGACAACCAAACATGGTTTCAAGACAGCTTAAGACGACCTCGAGCCGGCCAAAAATAGCCTCAAGACCGCCCAGAAGCCCCCGAAATCGCCCCAGAGAGCCTCCTGGGGACTCCCACGAGCGCCTGCTGAAGCGAAACACATAGATTTCCCATCGGTCCTTGATACGTCTTCGCGTTCTCACATGTTTTAGCTCTCGGGGGCTCGTAAAGGCCCAAGAAGCCTCCAAGATGGCCCTGGTACGGTCGAACAAACCCCAAGACAGCCCACGAGCCTCTCAATTGCCAAATGAGAGGCCCTCGTAGGCCGTCTTCGAATTCTCTTGGGCCGTCTGGGAACCCTCTTGGGAGCCCCTTGGGGTGATCGTTGGGACCTCTTGGGCCGACTTGGGCCGTTCCGCGACCATCCTAAAAACCTTCGACCTAGGGACAATCAATGATTTATGTTTGGCCTCCTGGAAGCCCTCTCAGGGGTCCTCGTGGGGCCTTTTCCAGCCGTCTTGGGGTCCTCTTGGACAGTCTTGAGACCATCTTATGACAAACCAACAACGCACACCCATACCCATAGGGGGGTCGGAGAGGGCTATGGGTGCGTGTTGTCGGATGGGGGTCCCCGTTCGAACGGGAGCGTTCCCCAGGGTCCGACAACCCGCACCCATACCCATAACCAGTCCTCCTCCCAACGACCCCCCCTATGGGTATGGGTGTGTGTTGTTCGTTCGTCATCGTAGGCCATCTTGGAGTGCTCGTGGGCGCTCCTGGGCTCTCGTGGAGCGCTCCTGGGCCCTTTTTGGAGCCCTCTCGGACCTCTCTGGGGGGCCGTCTTGAGCGCCTCTTGGGCCGTCTTGGGCGCCCCTGGGCGACGGGCGGGCGTGTTGCGCCCGTTTGTCCTGTCTGCGCCCTTCCCCTGGAATCCCTCCCTAGACTGGCCATCGCTCGGACGTCCATTCCCTGTGTTTTTGTTCGGTTTCGTGCGTGGTTTTTGTCGCCAAATGATCAAGGATGCTCCTCGATGGTCCCCGGCGAAGGAAACATGCACACGTCCGAGCGATGCCAAGAACTGATTATTCGTACCTCGCGCCTTCCGTTACCTGGACACGTGAAAACAGACGTTTCGCTCGAGACGTCCTCAAACTACCTCACATTAGAGATCCGCCTGTGCTGCCTGGACACGCGAAAGGCAAGCGTTCCGCTCGAAACACATACCCATGCTGGAGCTCCGCCTGGGCGATCTGGGCAGGTGATAACAAGCGTTCCGCTGAAGACATCCTGGACAACATCTCATGTTAGAGATCATGCTATGGTACCATGCGCAAGGACCTAGAACCCACAGATAGTAGCATACGTGAGACACAAAGGATGTGCGACCAACATATATAGGAAGGATTTGAGACCAGATTTCAGGAACATCCGAGACAGGAATCACCAGAGATTCGACACCAGACCGTACGAACATAAGCAAAACACTGTGGGCTCCAGACGAACAGACAGGGCCTCGATCCCTCGCAAATTACGCTGGAGTCGCACCCCCAGGGCTACCTGGAGTGTCCAGGGGCCTCCTGAGGCAACCTGATGCCTCCTGCGGGGTTCTGGAAACTCCTGGCGCCGCCTGGGGCCTCCTGGGGACCCCTGAACCCCCCCTGGGGGCTTGCCTCGTGGGGCCTCCTGCTGGGGCATCCTGGGGGCTCCCGGGGCCTCCTGCTGCCTCCAGGAGCCTCTTTGGGGCCTCCCGGGGCCTCTTGCTGCCTCCTGGGGCCTCCTGATGCCTCCTGGGGCGTCCCGGTGCCTCTGGGGGCCTCCTGGATTTGAGGCCAGTCCATAAGAACATGCGACAAACACACACACACACACACACACACACACACACACACACACACACACACACACACACACACACACACACACACACACACACACACACACACACACACCACACACACACACACACACACACCACACACACACACACCACACACACACACACACGCACGACTTTAGACCAGTCTACGGGAGCATACGTAAAAGACACGGCAAAGATTTGACGCCAGCCCATGGGAACATACGTCAAACCAACGTTTCGCTCCCTGGGCCACTATCCCTTTCCAATTACAATGCGTCCGAGCTCCCAAGGCCACGATCTCTTCCAAAATACGCAGGACTCCCGCTCCCAGAGCATCCAAGGGCACCCAGGAGTTTCATGGGCGTTCTCGGGCCTCCTGGAGCCTCCTGGGGCATCCTGAACAACCTGGGCCCTCCTGCTGGGGCCTCCTGGGCCCTGCTGGAGCCTTCTGGTGCATCCAGGGGCCTCCTGGGGTCCTGAGGCCTCCCTAGGCCTCCTGATACCGCCCGGGGCTTCTGTAGGGGCCTCCCGGATTCGAGGTCAGTCCATCGGAACACATGCATCAAGACATCGAGGGTTTGAAACTCGTCAACAGGAGCATACGTCAAACACAATGGATTTGAGACCAGTCTACGGAACACACAAGTAAAACAAACGTTTCGCTGGGGACGTCCCAAAACACCCTGGAGTTCAATTCAAACTGCGCAAAACAAGCGCTTCGCGAGGGACATCAGGGCTTAACTCGCCAGCCCCATGCGGCCTCGACGTGGATGCAGAAAAATCGCGGGCCCCACGCAAGTTGAAGGCCGATGATCGTGGAACACTTCCACTCACCATCGCTCGGACGTCCATGTCCTGTGTTGTTGGTTTCCTGCGTGGTTGTTTCACCACATGATCAAGGATGCTCCTCGATGGTCCTCGCCGAAGGAATGCACACGTCCGAGCGATGTCAAGACCAAAAGAAAACCCTGGGCCGACGCCCTTTCCCAGACAACGCGCTGGAAGACGCCCCGGGTCGCCGTCTGCACGGTACCGCGCCATGGTCCCGCATCTACAGCAGGGGCCAGACCCCAAGAAACCTCCCACAGGGAACCCAACCCTGAGACCCAAGGACGTCCAGTGGTTTTTGGTGTGGGAACGTCACGCTCTCCATCGCAAAACCATGTAAACCCAAGGGGTGCTTCTTGGATGGGTGTCCTGGAGGCGAGAAGGGTGTTTCTTGGCATGGGTCTCAACTGTAGCCAGGTCGTGTTCCACGGGTCACCGTCAAGCCCACCTCTGGGTCCAGAGCCCAGGCTCCTGCAGGGACTCCGCAGCCTGGCCTCATCTCCTGCTCGAGAGGCAGCGGGGGAGAGGGCAGGCGGAAAAGAAGAGAGAGTTAAGTCGGGCATGTCCCTCCACAGGAGGAATATCCAAACATTGCCAACAAAATAATGTGGGGACTGATCTTCTAAGATTTTGACTAATGTTTGAAAAGTGGTTGACAATGCTTTAGTTGTCTTCGGAAGCCTGCCTGTGCGAGGACGCGCCCGACCCTAAAAAGAGAGAGGGAGGAAGAGGCAGCAGATGTCGGGGTGGCGGAAAGGTGGGGCAGGGCCAGAGGTGCGGTTTGGAGGAAGAGGCTCCTGGAACTAAGTCGGGCCTGTCCCCCTACAGGGGGATTTTGGAGAACAAGTAAATGCAAAAAATACTCAAACATCGGAAACAACAATTAAACCATATTCCCCTGACTATTTGTTTGGCTATTTTTGAATATTCCTCCTGTAGAGGGACAGGCCCGACTTAATCCTGGAAGCAAGAAAAGTGAGCCTCGAGCTGGGTTCGCCCCCTTACCCCACCTTGGGATAAGCCCCACTCTACGAACCCCCCGCAGCTGACCCAAAACCCCGACGCGTTTTCTTCACAACGCCGACCCCCAGAGGTCTGGACGGTCCCGGGGAAGGGGTCCAGACTGGACCCCTTCCCCGGGACTGGCGGTTCCTCCTGATTCGTGCTCTGGCGGTCCTGGGGCCCGGCAAGGGCCCCCCGGAGGCCGAAAATAGGAGAGAACAAAAAAACAAAAAAACGAAACAAAAATCCCGTGGTGAGTTGTTCACACCGCGAGGGGTCTGGGGGCGGAGGAAGATTCTTGCGCCCGAGTTATCCGGGGTAACTCGGGTCTGGAGTAACTCGGGTTCGGATTCCCGAAAAACGAACCCGAGTTCGCCCTGACCCGAGTTACCCCTGATGATTCATTCGGGGCTTTGAAAGATGGGGAGCGCGACCAACCAGTGCAGGGAGCCACCACCCCGAGCCGCGCGTCTCCTCGGCGTCTGCGGCCGCCCTCCGCCAGCCGGCGCCAGCGGCCCCAGCGCCACCACGCCCGCCGACTCCGCTCCTCTGGGGACGGGGGCGGAGGAGGAGGAGGAGAAGGACCACGAGGGGGAGGAGGAGAAGGACGACGAGGGGGAGGAGGAGAAGGACGTCGGGGAGGAGGAGCAGAAGGAGAAGGAGGAGGAGGAGGAGGACGAGGATGACGCGGAACAGGAGGAGGACGAGAAGGAAGAGGAGGAATAGGAGGAGGAGGAGGACCAGTGCAAACCCAAGAATCATCAACGATGATGGAATAAACCCTTCCTCCAAGTTCCCTCTTCATAGGCCCCTTATCACGGCTTCGTTGGAAGGCAGCCGTTTGAAGAGCCTGAAGCGTGCCAAAACAGTATTCTCGGCACTCCAACGCCACGGATCAACCAGACTGTTGCGTCTTGTCGATCCTGAATCGTGCCAAAACGCCATTCTGGGATTTCAACACCGCGAATCAACGTAACTGTTGCACCCACATAATCCTAATCCTAAATCCTTCTGGTACGTTGACCATGGGAATCCGTGAAACTCCTGCAAGTTTGAAGAAGGAATGCGCGCAGCGCTAAGGCGAGAGCCACATTTCGAAAAGGAACCGCCCTCAAGCCGTGAAACTCTTGCGTAAATGTAAAACGAATGTGCGCGACGTTCAAGCAAGAACCATATTTTGAAAACGGCCCACCCTCAATTCGCGAATCTCTTGCTGATGGTTTACAGCGAATGTGCGCGGCGCTAAGGCGAAAGCCACGTTTTGAATACGACCCGCCCTCACGGACGTTGCTCTGCCAGAGAACTCAATATCTTCTGCACGCGTTCGGTGCGAGCCAGCTTGCCAACCCCAAACTGCCGCGGGCCAGCTGCTCTGGCGAGGTCAGCCTTCAGAACCTCGCACGCCGCCTCAACAATGATCCTCCTCCTCATCCTCCTCCTCCTTCTCGCCCTCAATCTGTAAATCTGTTGCCAATGTTGAACCTGCAGGGTCATAAATGGCGAGGAGGTCTCAGGCGAAAGGCCCGGCCCCTCGGGGTGCGACAGGGAGACGTCATGTTTCAGGAAAAATAAAGGAGGAGGAGGAGGAGGAGGAGCAGGAAGAGGACGACGAGGAGGACGAGGAGGACGAGGACGAGGAGGACGAGGAGGAGGAGGAGGAGGAGGAGGAGAAGGACGGGCGCCAGCCCCGCACCTCCTCGTCAACCTCCAGAGGGGCCCAGGGACACACAAAGAAGTCGGCACGAGTCCCAGGATCCCCCCCCGACGTTCGCCAATATGTTTCTGGACTTTCGCCTCCCCCCCCCACCTCCCACGAGTTCCCACATGTTATGGGGGATCGACGATTCACTGTATGTGTGCGTTTCCCTCCTGAGCCTCGTCTTCCCCCCTGTGCTTTCTCACTGCACGGCCGCAGGAATCGAACGGCATGTGCAGAACCGTTTTGGAGCGAATCCAAGACACTGGTTTTTGAACAGATTCGAACGCTCGTTATCAAACGACACGCATAGAACGGTGTGTGAGGCCATGAGGCAACCATTATATACATGCCGTTATGTACATGCTCCCCATTCCTCATCATGCCCTTCTGCTTCTGCTAAACCCAAGGCTGTGCCATACACACGGGATTGAATAAAAGCGGGAGGTAACAGCCCGAAGAGGAACAGGCATCGCATGAGACGGTAGATGTGAACGAATTGGAGGATGAGCACAAGGCGGGAAACCTGCACACAAACGCCAGGAGCAATGGCGACTGGTTGCAGGGGGCACGTATTCAGCTGCGTACGCCGCCAGTCACTTTAATCTACAGCGTACGTGATCCATTGTGTAACAGTTGCGTGTGTCGTGGTGCGCTTGCTGAAGTCACGAGCAATAGCATGCCATCATCAAATGGGCATGCGAGCTCACGAAGACACTGGTCCACAAACACCATAGCACAGCTGGCCAAACAATGTGGGAACACATGTCCCACACGTTCGGGCGCCACGATGCCGCAACCATGAGAACGCCCCCATCTGGGCTCAGAATGAGAATATGCCAACACCCTTCCAGGAGCCACCAGGCTGCGCGGTACAGGCGTTCGTGGCAAAGCAGCATTTGTGTTAACAGCTCCGCCCATTGCCTACCTTGAGCGTAGTGGATCCCTTCAAGGGCTCTCCGGAGCTGTCTAAACGCTCTATGGGGCCCTTTTGCACTATCTTGGGGCTTCACAGCTGCCGAAGTGGGCACATCAGAAATAGCACAAAAAGAACTATCAGCTACTCACTGCGTGGAGCTCCCCATATGTGCATCCTTTTATATTGAATGTGGGATATTTCAATAAGCGCCCAGCCATATGAGCCACAAGCGGGAAAGTGAACCTTTTCAAGTTCCCTCTCCCGCAGCTGGAGAGTGAACCTTTTCAAGTTCACTCCCCAGCCCAACACGCACGCGGGAGAATGAACCTTCACAACTTCCCTCTCCCGCTGACGAGGACAAGATTGGAAAGCACCACGGAGAGAGAAAGCAACATCCCACGGTGACACAAGCTCTGCGCCAGCCGTACGCAACGGGGAGAGCCACTCGGGATACAACGCAAAAACAAAAGACAAGCAAACCGAAATAGACATCCCCACAAAACGGCGACGAACGGACCCGTGAAGGTACCCTTGGCGGCTGCCTCAGGTAGCTGAAACCAGCGCCCCGCCTGAGACATCCTCACAATCTGCTCTCCAAGCGAAGGATGTTGAGACAGAAAACAGGCAAACCGCTTGAGACATCCCCACAACACGGCCGCGAAGGGGACCATGCAGTACCCCTCGGCGGTTCCCCTCAGCGGTGCTGAAACCAGCGCCCCGCCTGAGACATCCTCACAATCTGCTCTCCAAGCGAAGGATGTTGAGACAGAAAACAAGCAAACCGCTTGAGACATTCCCACAAAACGGCCGCGAACGGGACCATGCAGTACCCCTCGGCGGCTCCCATCAGGGGTGCTGAAACCAGCGCCCCGCCTGAGACATCCTCACAATCTGCTCTCCAAGCGAAGGATGTTGAGGCAGAAACCTGGCAAACCGCTTGAGACATCCCCACAAAACGGCCGCGAGCGGGACCGTGCAACACCCCTCGGCGGCTTCCCTTAGGGGTACTAAAGCCAGCGCCCCGCCTGAGACATCCTCACCACCTGCTCTCCAAGCGAAGGATGTTGAGAGAAAACAAGCACACCGCTTTAGACATCCCCACAAAACGGCCGCGCACGGGACCGTGCAATACCCCTCGGAGGCTCGCCTTAGGGGTGCTGAAACAAACGCCCCGCCTGAGACATCCTCACAATCTGCTGTCCAAGCGAAAGCTTTCTAAGACAGAAAACTGGCAAACCACTTGAGACAACCCCACAAAAGGGCAGCGAACGGAACCATGCAATACCCCTCGGCGGCTTTCCTGCGCCCCGCCTGGGACATCCTCACAATCTGCTATCCAAGAGAAGGATGTTGAAACAGAAAGCAAGCAAACCGCTTGCGACATCCCCACACAACGGCCGCGAAGAGCAGCGCCCCGCCTGAGACATCCTCACAATCTGCTCTCCAAGCGAAGGATGTTGAGGCAGAAAACTGGCACTCTGCGTGCATCTCCCCATGTGCGCATCTATTCGCATGGACCTGTCCGCCGTGAGTGTCTAGGCGCAAGAATTTTCGAATGTAAACGGGCTCGAGTTGTGACGGTCTGGTCATGAATCGGACTGCGAATGAATTGGAATGTGATTGAGCATCAATAGTACGAGCGCGTCTCTGCGCATACGCCTAAGGCCTCCTGGGGCCTCCTGAGACCTACTGGTGCTTCCTGGGGCCTCCAGGAGCCTCTTGGGGCCTCCTGGGGCCTCTTGGGACCTCCAAGGGAGGATTCGTGCCCAAGGGGAGGCCCAATCTATAGCAACAGGCGTACGTAAAACATTGCGGATTGGAGCCACAGGAGAAGAGCAATCTATAGGAACACGCGTAAAACACCAAGAACTCGTGCCCCAGAAGAGGCCCAATATATAGGAACACACGTAAAACATCTAGGATTGTGTACACAGGAGAGGGGCAACCAATATAAACATACGTATAGCATCAAGGATTCGTGCTCCAGGTGAGGCCCAATCTATAGGCGCAGACATAAAACACATGGGATTGGAACCACCCCTGTTGCTTTCTGAGGCCTCCTGCTCCTGGGGCCTCGCGGGGCCTCCTGTTGCCTTCCGAGGCCTCCTGGCGCTTCCTGTGGCCTCCTGTGGCCTCCTGTGGCTTCCTGAAGCCTCCTGGAGTCCTGGAGCTTCCTGGGGCCTCCTGGACCCTCTTGGGGCATCCTGTGGCCTCTTGAATCTTTCTGTGGCCTCCTGATGCCTCCGTGGACCTCATGTGGTCTCCTGGAGCTTCCGAGCCTGTTGGAACCTCCTGTGGTATCCTGCGGAGAATCTGTGCCCACGGGTCTGGCCACCAAAACATGCAAACCGATCAAGGCATCCTCCAAATCTGGCCCACCTGGGGACGTGAATATGAGCGCCTCGCTCGAGACATCCTCCGAATCTGCTCCGGAAACGAAGGATATTGGGACAACATGTAACAAGCAAACCGCTTAAAACATTCCCACGCAACGGCCGCGAACGGGACCGTGCAGTACCCCTCGGCGGCTCCCCTTAAGGAAGTGAAACTGATCACCTCGACCGGAACATCTTCCAAATCTGTTCCGAAAGCGAAAAATGCTGGGACAGAAAACAAGCAAACCGCTTGAGACATCCCCACAAAACGGCCGCGAATGGGGACCGTGCAACACCCCTCGGCGGTTCCCCTTAGGGGTGTGAAATGAGCGCCTCGCTCGAGACATCCTCCGAATCTGTTCCGGAAGCGAAGGGTGCTGGGACGGACAACAAGCAAACCGCTTGAGACACCCCCACAAAACGGCCGCGAACGGGACCGTGCCATACCCCTCGGCTGCTCCCCTTTGGGGGGGGGAATGAGCGCCTCGCCCGAGACATCCTCCAACCCTGCTCCGAAAACGAAAGATGTTGGGACAGAAAATTACTCGACGCGGGGC